AATCAATTTGATGGGACTTATCAACAACAATATAGTAAAGGAAACTTTGTATCTACTCCACTAACTCCAATTTACCAATAAATAAGCAGTTCTCTCCTTTTATACTTTCCTAACACGCTGAAGGGAGTCCTAGTGTGGCACTACAGAATAAGCACTGGACTTCTAACTACAAGTTTGGCAGTTCAAACCTACCAGCCACTCCTTGGAAAACCCTATACGGGGTCACTATGAGTTGAAACCGAATCAACAGCACTTAACAACAACATGCTGAAAGTACTTTCTTGACTGGGGATGGATGTGTGGTATACATTAATATTTTTTTCCATGATGGACTACACCTGTATAAACTCTCATGAAGGGATTGTAAGCCAGTGAAAATTAATTAAGATCCTTCAGGATTCTTTGTCTGTAACTGGTGTGGCACTTTGAATCAATGTGCTGGACTGCAAAATTGGTTTGAACTGCAAGATCATCGGTTCAAGCTCACCAGTTCAAGTTCCTTTGAAACCCTATACAGGGTCGCTATGGGTCAGAACCAACTCAACGGCACTTAATAATAACAACAACAGTATTTGAAAGAGTTTGTGACAGATTACTTTAAACTGATTAGGAAATTTATATCCTTTACAAGTATCCATTATTTGTTCATACTTTGCAGATCAGTAATTCTTGAGTGAATTGGAGGTTTACCTTTTAAAGTAATTTGATTTGAAAGTTAGAAAGCAAAGTGGATAGTGTAAACCCTGTGAGAAACAGAACTCCACAAGGATGTTGTTTTCCTCCTGGTCCCACAAGTTTCCTGCCTTTGACAGGTTGCAGTATTACCACTCTTCTAAGATTCTTTTCACTGGAAACAACCTTAGTTTTTCTTCTCTGATAGGTTTTCACATTACATAGGTTCCAGCTTTTAATAGATTTTACTGTTTAAGAAAACAGATCCAATGTAGTTCACCAAGGAGTGAATTATAAACAAATGCAATAAAAGTGGTATATTCTATTCCTGAGAAGCAGATTTTAATTAATGCCTTCAATATGGAAGGTCATCTGCCAGGGACAAACAGCTGTTTTTATGCAACTTGTCTAAGGACATAATTTTATTAAGATGTTGTAGTTAGAAAATAGAATGAATTTCCTGACAAGTTTATTTTCTGTGGATTTATGTGAGATGTCATTCTGGAGTCCTGGTGTGATGTTGTAGGATCAGCAGTGAACTGCTCATGCCTGGTCCTTGGTACAAACCTACCAGCCAATCCTCAGAAATCCTATACTGCAGGTATAAGGAACCTTTTTCTGCCAAAATTTATAACATCATTCACGGACCACACAAAATTAGCAACTTAAAATTTAGCCTGCTATATTTGGTCCAGCACTTAATTAATTCACCCCTAATGTGATGGCTGGAACTGTGGTTGTTTTGGCAGGGCCGGACATTCTCCACCCCTGCTATCCAGGGTCACTATGAATCAGAACCAACTTCGTGGCATTTAACTATAACAACATACAGATTTCTTTCTGGGAATCCTGAAAAGCATACAGAATGTGAGCATACATGTATATGCATGAATCTGCAAGAAAATAAAAGAGTTCTATATTTAAAAAATATATATATATACTTTTTCCTACTTATTTCGAACTTGCTATAATCTATTGTGAGTCTAGGGAGCGTGGCAGCTTCATAAGATAAGTACTGGACTTAGAAACGCTTGATCGGTGGGTCAAGCCCACCAGTCGCTCCTCAGGAGAAAGGTGATGCTTTCTGCTTCCTGAAGATTGACAGCCTTGGAAACCCTATATAGGGCCACTATAAGTTGGAACTGACTCGATGATGCTCAACAACAGTGACATTGTATGTCTAAGGCCTGGCAACCTACTTCTGAAAACTCAACCATTCAAAACCCTGGGGAGCACAGTTCTACTCTGAGGACACCAGGAACCTAAATCAGGATACTGAACTTGTTCATTCTGGTTCCACTCCCTGCTGAGAATTTGTATGTCTACCACAGAGGTGGGGAAATCAGAATCTAACATTTTTTAACAAGATTCTCCAGGTTATTCTTATAGATCTCTAGGTATATCCCCCTAGGACTCTAGTTAAAATGTAGATTCTGATTCTCTACATATGTGTATCTGGGGTGGAAATGCAAATTCATAGTAGAAGGTTGAGCTGGGATGAACCAGGTTGAAGCCCTGGTTAAAATGGGCTCTGGTATTAATTTTTTTAAATGTCAAGGTATGCAATTTCTGAATAACAGTAGACTAGGTTTAGAAATTTATGGCCTGGCAATTTATAGTGTGGAAAGTGTGCTTATTTACAAGGATGATATATCTACATTTAAGCTCCAAAGTTTGTCTTTTTTGAAAATGCAATTTACAGCCAACACATCTGTTGTTCTTATGCAGGAGATTAAAATGAGCTATTTTTATTGAAATTTAGCAACAGAATGTTCAGTAAGCATGCCCAAAAAAGTTACCTATTTAAGTTTTGTTTCTTCATATTAAACTTTTACTGTGTTTTTTCCCTAACTGCAAGAAAGTCTCATCTTGGTTAAAATATAAAAGATTTAGGTGGTTTTAAGTTTTTATTTTTGTCATACTAAAACATTTATATGTTATCTAAGTCTTCCTACTTTGGAATATTTTGAATGTTATCTGAAAGTTTGATTTCACCCAATAGCAATTTTTTGTGGAAATTTTACCAACATTTTATTGATGCTTCAGCCCTGGAATGTGAGGTTATATTGTTCTTCCTGGAAACCTCAATTTAACCAGTTCTAGCTTTTCCTTTCAAGTGTAATCATGCAATTTGTGTTGGTGCTTACCACGAAAGCCAGAATATTGTATTGCACTCCCTCGCAAGGGTTAATAAACTGTGTCTACAGTCTATGTGAAAGGGGAGAACAAAACATTTTTCACATATTTCTGTTGCAATTTGATAGCTAATGTGAATCATAGAATGGTTCATTCCTCATGAAACTGATCTTCTACTGATCCACTGTTTCTCATAAAACAGTAGCAACAATAACAAAGGCAAGTTACTTGGTTTATAATTCAGTTTTACCTAAAATAATAATAATAAGTAAATAAATAAAGTATATTGAGCACCTAAGATTATAGCAGAGAGGTAGAGAAGAAATACCTTTGTTCTTGTTGTTGTTAAGAGCTGTCAAGTTGGTTCTGACCCATAGCAACCCTGAATAGAGTTTCTGAGAAACAACTGTTGAGTCTCAACTGTTGATCTTGTGGTCCAAAACAACCTTGCAGTACTGTACACTATCCCACAGCGCAACACCAGGACTCCAGAAATGGAATGGAATAAATAATGTTCCCACTACTAACTAACAGGTTGTAGCAGCTCAAGTCTATCCAGAGATGCCTTAGAATAAAGACCTACCTGGCATTCTAATTTTGAAAAATTAGCCATTGAAAACTCTGTGGAACACATTTCTGCTTTGACACACATGGGGTCATCATGAGTCTGAATCGACTTGACTCAACTGGTTTAGTTTAAGTCAGTCCTTGTTAAATTTTAAAGGGGATATGAATATTCTGAGTATCTTATTACAGTGCACGTTCTGATTCAGTGGGTCTGGAATGGTGCCTGAATCTGTATTTTTAACACTTCAGGTGATACAGATGGTATACTTCAGATCACACCCTCAAGAGATGAATGGATTGAAATGGACTGTCCTTAGTATTTAAATAAGAGTCTGTCTAACTATTATATATGACACACATATACTGAGATGTTTCATCATAATCCTAGCAGAACCAGAGAACAATATAGTCATCTGGTAGAGGACATAGATCACATGTTAACTTAATTAAAATAATTCATGATCCTAGACTTCATTAGTGCTGTCTTCCTAACAGAGCTACTAAATTTTTTGTTATTGTTAAGTGTCATCCATTCGGTTCCGAGCCATACTGTCCCTGTATAGGGTTTCCAAAGAGTGGCTGGTGAGCTCGAACCACTGACCTTGCGGTTCAAACCAACTTTGCAGTCCAGTGCATTAACCCACAGCTCCACACCAGGTTACTAAAATTAGAGTAACCAAAATCAACTGAAAAATCTAGACTGTCTCAGTATATTTTATTGATTCTGTTTTGATTATTTGAAATCTTTTCAGCCAAGTCAGAAAAAGTAAATTTTTTCTAGGTAGAGAAGTCATTAAAGTTTAAATGCTTGTAGGAACAGGCATGGCATACCAAGGCGTGAAGAGGGCTGGATGTAAGGAGTGGCTGGGGCTGTGTTTATTGGAGAAAACATAGTTCATCCCATCATTCTCCTGCAATAAGGTGCTCCTAAAGGAGCTCTGGTTGCGTAGTGGTTACGAATTGGGCTGCGAACCTCAAGGTCAGCAGTTTGAAACTACCAGTTGTTCCGTGGGAGAAAGTTGAGGCTTTCTGCTCCCGTAAAGGTTTACAGCCTTGGAAACCCTGTACAGGGTCGCTATGGATCGGAATTGCCTGACAGCGCTTAACAACAACAACAACAACAAGGTGGTCCTAGCTTGGTCAGAACTTCTAGCCTTTCAAGAAATGCCCAAAAGACAAATTACATGTAAAAATTTCCCAATAAAAAAAATTTTAGCTATTAATGTGCTGCCGCAGGATAAGCACTTGACTGCAAGGTCGATTTGGAAACAAAGTCAGTGGTTTAAACTTACTAGCTGCTCCTTTGAAACCCTTATAGGGTCACTATGGGTTGGAACCAACTCAACGACACTTAACAACATTAATTTTTTAACACCTCATGTGAGTTAAGAGGGCACACCTGTGCCCTAGGTACAGTTTATGATCCACATTTACAATCTGTGGTACAGGATGTATTGAAGTCTTCTAATGTATTTGTCATGGATGAAAACGGAAACTTTTTGTCCTTTTGTCTTTAGATGCTTTGGTGTCAGACAAAACGTCTCTGCTTTATGTCTATGGAGGCACTGATATTAAATTGGTATAAGATAATAAATTCCATCTTTCCTTATTCTTTCACCCTCCAGATTACAGGACAGGTCCATGCTTCACTCAGGTTAACAACCAGATGTGCCAAGGGCAGCTGACAGGCATTGTGTGCACAAAGACCCTGTGTTGTGCCACCATTGGACGGGCCTGGGGCCACCCCTGTGAGATGTGTCCAGCGCAGCCACAGCCCTGCCGACGCGGCTTCATCCCCAACATCCGCACTGGAGCATGCCAAGGTGAGTCAGCTCTCCATGTCTGCCTATGTGCATAAGTCCGGCAGAGCAGTTGGCAACGCACCAGGCTGCCTTTCCTTGGGTTTGTTTGTGGGATCTGGCACTGCAGACTGTTGCTTTTAACATAATACCCATTCCAAGTAGAACTTGGTTAATAAGCCTTGCTTTTGTTGTTGTTAAGTGCTATTGATTAAGTGCCATTGTTATGTTGTTAAGTGCCATTGTTAAGTTCCAACTCCTAGAGATCCTGTATAGAATTTCTGAGGAGTGGATGGTAGGCTTGAACAGTCAGTTTTGCAGTTCAAACTGACCTTGTGGTCCATTACTTATCCTAGAGAGCCACACTACGACTCCTAGAGATGGTTTATCTTTTAGCCACATAACAAATAATTACATTTCAACTCTTGATATTAATAGAGGAAAAGATAGGGATCATATGGAAAATTGGTATAACTAAGTAGAAAAAAATAAAGGCTGAAATAATTGATACAGGGGGGGCTTCAAAAAGTTCATGAAAAAATTCCATTACCTTTTAATCCCATTTGTCTACAAACTTTTTTAGGTCTCTCATACAACCAGACAATGCAACACCCTAAGTCTTCATAAGTGTTTCATTAGCCACTCACCCGTCCCCAGTCTGCCTATTCAGAAGTTGTTAGTTGCCATCTAGTCAAGAGAACTCATGGTGACCTCATGAACAACAGAACAAAGAACAGCCGGGTTATGTGCCATCTTCCCTGTCTTTGATAGGGTAGTCTGTTGTTGTGACCATTTTGTACTCTGAGTGCCCTCCAACCTAGGGAGCTCATCTTCTAGAACTGTATCAGTCAACATTCTGGTGTCATCCATAGGGTTGTCACTGGCTGATTTTTGGAAGTCAGTTGTGTGTCCTTTTTTCCTAGCTTTCCTTAGTCTGGAAACTGCAATACAACCTGTCAACCATGAGGAGTGACCATACTTATTTCAAGTACCAGTGGCATAGATTCCAGAGTATCACATAGCAACATTCAAGCCACAACAGTATGACAAATTGACACACATGCAAATACCTAGGCAGAACATTTTTTCTCTCTCTCTAATCTTAGTCAAATTGTGAAAACATGAGACCAACTAACAGAGATCAGAAAGCTGCACCATCTTGTTATGAATAGTATCCTCTAAGACAAAGGATGAACTCAGTCCACAACTGCAATTATTTCAGACTTTGTAACATAAGCTAAAGACAATCTTGTGTCCAGAGAATGTCTAAGGACTCTCCAATCACATTCGTTACACTAATTTATACGCCAGGTCCAGTTTGGGACTCTCATGATGCTGTCATTATAAACTCCAACCCAAGTGGCTAGAAATTGCTATATTTAGTGGTTAATGATTTGAATTCGTTTTACAGCCGCCACAGTTACTCCCTTTTTTGACTACTTTTCTGATGTCATCATATTAAATCCATGTTTAGAACTTGGAAATGTGTTTTCTACTGAGCTCTCAGATGGCAGTTCACTTCATGTTACACAGCAGTAGAATTAGAATCACAGGAAAACAGACAATGGCTATTTTCTTATTCACAAAAATGATACAACTCATATTTGAGACATAGAGTTAGATTGATTTGCCAAGAGAATACAAAATTAGATCTGAAGTCTTTCAAATTGATGTTAGCTGATAAACTAAGTAAGGGGCAGAGCTCTCTTGCTAATTCATATAGAATCCATAGAGTTGACAGCTAGTCCAGTGTTCTCAAGGCCTAAGAGGAGCGATGTGGTATGGGGCCTCTACCTGGGGTGATGTTGTAGGATAAGCACTGGACTGAGATCCACAAAGTTGGTGGTTCAAACCCACCAGCTGTTCGACAGAAATTGTATGTAGGGTCACTACAAGTAAGAAGCAACTCGACGTTACTTAACAACAATATACCCTCACCTCATTGAATAATGAAATATGAACTATCTGATTAATTTGGTCAATGCATTTGGCAATAAATGTAGCTGCTAAAATTTTTGGATGGCTTTATAATTTTATAAAAGGTGACATTAAAGTGAAATATGTATATAAACTGTTCAGGTTATAATTTTATAGAAATCAAGAGATGATCACTTCACTCACAAATAAACAATTATGTATTTAATTGCATGTAAAAGTCATGTTAACTATGGGCTTAGGATGGCTTTTGAAGTTTTGTCTTTTAGATTAGTGTTGTTGTTGTTGTTAAGTGCCATCTAGTCAATTTCAACTCATAGTAACCTTGTACAGGGTTCCAAGGAGCAGCTGGTGGGCTTGAACTACTGACCTTGAGGTTCACAGTCCAGTGCTTATGGATAGCAACACATCAGGACTTACAAATCAGATGATTGAATGATAAAGACTGGCTTAAATGCTGTTTAATCTGTTGCTTATTGTTAATAGTAAAATTCTATAACTTTGATATGAATATCAATCTAATTTTATAGAGCTTTTGATAAAACATTAATTTCTTCTATAGACGATATTCTACTATACCCTCCACTCATATATAGTGCAGTGGTTACGAATCGGGCTGTGAACCTCAAGGTCGGCAGTTTGAAATTACCAGCTGTACTGCGGGAGAACAATAAGGCGTTCTGCTCCCGTAAAGATTTACAGCCTCGGAAATGCTATTTACAGCCTCGGAAACAGGGTCACTATGAGTCAGAACTGACTCCATGGCACATAACAACAATAACAGTATACTATGTAGATGGTTTAGAGTAGTGTATGGTGGTGGTAGCAGTAGTCTGCCTTCAGTTCCAACTCATAACAACCCTGTGTAGGGTTTCCGAGGCTGTAAATCTTGATGCGAATGGAAAGCCTCATCTTTCTCCCACAGAGTTGTATATAGATTAACATATATAATTTCTGTAGCTAAATTATTTAAATTATTCAGTAGCTTTACTAGATTGTTTTTATCGCCTCCTCATGCGCTGGACTGCAAGGTCAGTTTGAACCTTAAAGTTCAAGTTTACCAGTCTCTCCTCGGAAACCCTATTTTAGGGTTTCTATGAGTCAGAACCAACTTAATGGCACTTAACAATAGCAACATACTTGCTTATTTATTACTTTATTGCTTTTACTACCCCCAGCAGTAAGTTACATGAGGGCAGAAATTTGATACATTCACAGTATTTGTGAGGCATCTAGACAGTACCTACCAGGTAGTCCATGCATAGTAAATAAATATAGTTTGAATTAGTAAATGGAATTAAGATGAAAATATTTCCAAAGAATACTATTTCTTATGAAGAAACAGTCCAAGTTGAGAAAATCCTTTAATTTCAACCATAGCATCTCAAATTGCTGACTCTCCTCATTTCCTGTATTTATACATGTCTTTTACTTTGATATTTCACCAAAGTGGCCTAATTTTTTTTAAACACAATTATTTTTAAAATGTATGATCTGATCTCAAACTTTTTGAATGTCCTTGAATATTTAGTAATGTCTGAAGGCTTCATTTACTCGATCGTGTTTATGTAGCAGACATAAGTTTTGGACTCCATTGCTCTCAAATCTAATGGATTAGTACAGCTCCAGGAGCAAAATGAAATTTGTCACATGCTTTAAATGTCTAGAAAAGCAAATTTTAAAAGATCTACTTTATTTCACAATCATAGCATAGTCAGGAAATTCTCCGTTAAATCTTAATATTTAACTCAGACTATGTTAGACTACATCTTACTGTGAGTTCATTTTTCTCTTTAAATTCTTAGACTGCCTCCCAAATGCGAATGCCAAATTTATTTGAAAGAGATGATGCATGAAAAAAAATTACATAATAAAAGACAGTATATATGTGTCATACTTTTTTATAGAATAATTGAATCATTTTATAGAGAGCTAAAAGTACATTTCAGCTGTTTAGATGAAAATTATAAATAGTGTAATATTAGTTGTTTTTGTTTCTTGTTGCAGCCATTTTTTTTTCCTTTCATCATCATCATCATCATTATTATTATTATTATTATTATTTGTGTGTGACCTGAGTGATAGTTTACATGGGAGAACATTAGCTTACACCCATCGTTTCATTGCAATGATTACAATCTCCTCCGTGCATCATCATTCAGTAGTATTTACTTCCATTCCCTCTGGTTGTTTGTTTGTTTGTTTGTTTTGTTTTGGGGGGTGGGAGGATATACACAAAAACACTCAGGAATATATAATAATTTAAACAACCAAAAGGCACAGTCTGTAAGACTGCCTCCTGGCCACCAGCACTCAGTCCTTCTCTTTCCATGAGTCTAGAGGCGTAATACTAGTTTCAAAACATAGCTCATATTAGACAAAGGAGGGCATTTCTGAAGTTCTGAGCACAGTGATATCCTGTATTGAATGTAATTAGTTAATTACCTACCTGTAATTTAATAGAGAATGAAACATGACTTGTAACAAATAGGATAACTGTGAAAAATGAAAGCCAGTAAAGATGCTCATTTCTTTTTTAATTAAGTTGCTAAGAAATTAGTACAGTTAAAAAATTTTAACATGATGACATTTTGGGATGAAGTAAGCAATGTCAGAAAGATATACATTCCTATGCTTCTATGCAGTATAAAGTTAGAGGTCAGCCAAAACAATCCTTGACGGCTTTTAATATTGAGAGCCAGGTGAATTCTAGTATTTTTGCCTAACTTTAGTCATCCATGTTTAATCATCTGTTTTCTTCTATTTTGTTACACAGTGAAGAACCAACATTTGCTAATATGTGCCTTAAAATTGAAATCATCATAAAATTAATGCATTAAAGATTTTTAAATGGCATTATGCCTTTTTCCAAGAATACTTAGAGGCAAACTTTACATTTTATGGCCTATCATGTCCATATGTTGTATTGTTTTCTTGTAACTACTTTTTTAATCTTAAAGCATTATAAATCTACTATAATTAGAAGTGATGTTTTATTTAAGCTCAGTGCTTGACTTTACATATTTTTAGGTTTTGAGATGAACTATGTCCACTTAAAATATTTAAAAATATATTAAACTTTGAATAAT